AAAATAAATAAAGAATGGATTAAAACTTTTTGTGTACTACATTATAAATTTGAAAAATAAGGATGAGTACGAGCAAGTGCGAGCTATATCGATATGTAATTTATGCAGTTCAGTCCTGTAATTGGCATGATTTTTAGGTTCTTGATTTTTCGTGTTACTTCATTTAAAGAGAAGGATAATTTCAAAGATAACTTTAAAAAATTTCTCACCAAATATAATGGAAATTACAAAAAGTAATTTAAAATAAAAATCAGAGATAGACTTTTGTTCTAATGTAGAAGCTAATGAATAACAAACATAGAAAATTGTATAGAATAGCCAGATCAGATAATAGTAACCTCTTCCAAAAGTTTTCCACTTAAAAGCTATAATTGCCACCAATTATAAAAACGAAATAAGGAGATGTTTATTATTCAAAAGATTTTTACTTATCCATATCGATATAGCATTCATAATGACATCTAATAACTTTGATTTGATTGATCAGCTAATAAAAAATTAGAAATCCACTTTCACCCTTGACTTCTACTTAAATTTAATGAACTTTAAATAATTCAACATGAAAACGTAATTCTTTTCATCTTGATATTTCTTTGTTAATTTTTTTGTTCATTTCTCCACTTACAGACTGAAAAATATTTTCAGCCAATTCAGCCAATTTTGTTGCAATGTTTTTAAAATTATTGGTAAAATTGTTAAACTTTTCTTGGACTTGAATTGACACTTTGCTAACAACTGCTGACGTTGTACAAAACCATCAACATAGAAAAATGTGACTCACAAAATCTTACCAATTTTTTGGATTGAGAATTTAATATATCGAATTTTATATTCTACTTTATCATTTAAGAACATGCCATTTCTCATTATTGTCTTTAAGAAATCTCCATTTCTCGTTATTAAGGTTCAATTTTCGTCAAGCAGTCCAGGCTTGACATTTATTTCCTCAAGGTCTCGATTTTTTTCATTTATTGAAACAGGTGGCATCATTTAAGGTTACTGTAAATTTCATTACAACACTGTGAAATTTCTGTTCGTTTTCCAATTCTTTTTCTTGAAAGGGAGATGCTTTGATTCGAATAACGTATTTGCACACTTCCAACAGTTTCACAATGGTAACTAACACTTCAAGGAATTTTACAAGATTGAGAAACGTGTTATAATAATAATCTAAGGATATACTGACTTGTTAATATGTCAACAAAGAAACGGTGTAGAAACACTTTCTTACCTAAATCTTGTGATACCATCGGCAAATGCAGCGAAAGATGGAGATTCGATGTTATTTTATCTCTACCGTGGTGATTCTCAATGAGTTTAACTATTTCAATGAGACTTCTATGGGCTTGGTTGTTGCAAATGTTTTCCGTCCATATTTTTAAAAAAATGTCTTGAAATCTTTGCACATCATTATCTTATGTCATTATTACAAGTTCTGCGCATTTCAGGTGATCCGATTTTGATGATCACATGTTGTACCGTCAAAAAGACGTTTTACCATCACAAGCTACAAAAATAATCCTTTATTAAATGTAATACATCCCGAGTTCCATAATAAAATATAGTAAAATTAACTAATCCTAATTCTAAAATCTTAAAAATCAAACTGCAATAATTTACCTTATTAATAACCCAATAAACCATTAATCAAAAATAATTAATGTGGCACTTTTTCATCATAAGAAAAAGGCAAAAAGAATCGACCAATCGAATAATTGTGTAGTGGATCTAATTAATTCATTTCTAAATTACTTGAATTTAAGGTATATTTATACCTTTTGAAGTGATACTAAATTCTAAATAAACTCCCATTAAAATATAAATAAAGACAAAATAATCCCTTAATATGATAAACCATATAAATGATTCGTTCAAGACCAATAACACGAATACGTAGATCTTTTCTAATAATAAAAATAATATGATAAATCACATTACTAATCCAATCCCTTATTATAAAATAATCATCCAATAAAATCATAAAGAATAGTTTTACGTCATTACGGACCACCTTAATCCCCTAATACATCGGAGGCGCAAGCGAACACCTCGATTTCGGATAAGACGAGTTTCCTGAATAATGTAACCGAAGTTTTCAAGACAGAAAAATCTTGCCTGAGAATGCGTCCTCGAAAACCGTTCCGATCAAAGTCATATGACATCGAAAACCACTAATGGTACGTAGACTAATACATCTTCGAAATCTGAGATAAGCGTCTCGTCTAAAAGTAAATGTGCCTACTGCATCGTTTATTATCAAAAATAAATCGGATATGAATTCTTTCTTCATTTGCAGCAAAAATTCAAAGCGCATAAGGAGAATTAGAAGAATGACTGAATGAGTGAAGGGTATTACGTTATACTTTAACGTTAATGTTACGACCTATTTCACAGTGACAATCATACCTGAAAATAATTTTTTGTAACTCATACAATAAAACTTTAAATTTCGATCTTAGATTCGCAATTCGGTGATATTTCAACCCCCCTACCCTGTTGTCTTTGCTTTTTTTCCTAACAAATAAGGTTATCTTAAAGAATAATAAATATGCTATTCTTCAAAAATTTCAAGCTAACGTCAGCAAATTTGCAAATATTTCTTAAAAATATGTTTTATTAGTTAAAAACTATTCCTTCTGTTATCTTCTTTGTTATCTACTTATAATTTACTTATCATAATATATATAAAAGTATAATAGTCGAACGGTACAGTACATAAAATGTATAATACAATATCGAAAAGTAACAAGAACTAGATAGATAGAAAAAGGTTGTAAAAGATCAGTTCTTTTTCTTTACGGTTAAATGAAATTGAGATCTAAAAATTTTTTATACGTTTATTCATCATACCTAAATACTTGGGATACTTGGGTAAGCTTTGATCCGGTTAAAATTAACCGGTTCAAACCGGGTTAATTCTGGTTAAGATCTTATCGATTGGTTAAATTAACGGTTAATTTAACTGGTTAAATTAACCGTTAAAAATATATTTCCAAACAATCCAAATGGAGGATCGAATAATTAGAAATTACTCCTTAGAATGTTATTATCGATTATCGAATATTCAAGTTTCACAAAGTAATTAATAATAACTGGTTAATTGACTTGTTAAGACTTGGTCAATAGTTATTTAACCGGTTAAAAATTTTTTTTTTTTTAATTAAGTCAATATAAATAAACAAATAAATGAATGAATACGAATATATATACCAGCGGGTTTTGAAATACTAATTATATATAGTTAAATACTAGCTCATATTAATATCATCATTATATCTTTGTTTATTTATTTTTTTTTTTTATGTATAACTTCTTTATTATTTTCTAAAGAAAATAATCTTCGGTTAATATTTTTCTTGTGCAACGGTTAAATCTCCTAGTAAGTACCAGTATTTGTTATATTTTAAATGCTATAGTTTTGAAAATTCGGAACATCTATCAATAGCTAAAATTTTTTTTTGTGTTGTAACGAAAAAAATCTTAAATTTAATATTTTTTGAAGTATATTATTAAATTAAGGTAATAAAATATTGCAAAAAATTACAATTTTGAAAAATTTGTAAGAAAAAAAAATTATCATTTCAGCAATCTATTAGGTGGTAAATTCACCAGAACAATCAGTCGAAATAATTTAAAAGATCAGAAATGAACGATTATCTTTTTCTTTTTTTCTTTAACGGGTGGCTTGTGTCATACATGCGTCAAAAAAGGAATTTTAACAATGTATCATGTCGTCATCAATGAAAGTAATAATTTCTATTCTCTTAAAGGAAATTTACTACTAATTTTGAGTAAAATATACTTTCATATCTAATTCACTTAATCATGTGATCACCATCCTGTCCAATCAAAAACCTTTTTTTTAGATCCGCGTATGGTTAGAATTGTGTACTTGTATGACCATCCAATGCTAATCTCGATTAGATTGCTGTAGTTATTAGGTGAAAATTATACATTCAAAAAATTCAAACAATAATAATTACACGACATTGTAACTTTTTGTTAAAATGTTTGGCTGTGATAATTTCATATTCAGCCTTCATTGAGCCAATCTTGGCTATATATCATTCAAAAATTATTCCTTTCATAAATACAAATTTTGCAATGAGAAAAATAGCCAAAATTTCGTGTTCGGCCTTTGTATAATAATCACATTAGGAATTATTAAAAGGTTATAACTAGTTTATTATATTAGCCTAAATAAGGAAAAATTTGTTTGATATTAATTTCGTTAACCGCCGAAAGTTATTAATTATCACAAAAATAAATTAAGATTTCTACGAATGGTAATTGTCAAAGAATTTTCGGATATTATTTACGTATGTAATTTTCTTAACCCGAGGCTGTGAAAGATAAAATAAAATCACGGTTAAAATAACTTAATTCTTTACATTCTAATTTTCAATGTTTATTTATCATAGGATAATTTACACCGATTACTTCATAATTTGTGTTTTAGTATACGAAACAATAATAAATTATTGTATTACTTTATATGGAAAAGCTAATATTGTATGATGTTCAACCGAAATTGTGAATTATGATGGAATATTCGATGAGGAGAAAAATATTTTCTTTTTGTTGTATCACGACATAACTTTTCTTGGACGAATTTCTTTGTTGATGTTAATTTACAATAATAAAATTTTGGTTCCCTAATTAGTAAATACAATTAAGTCCTATTAACATAAAAAAGTATTTCTCCACCTTTTTCCCCTCAAATAGTATGATCGAAACAAACATTTTAATAATAATATTTTTTGTTTATTTTCCAAAATATTCGGCAATTTTTATTAATTAACTAAAAAAAAGTTATGTACAATGATGAATGTAAAAAGAGAAAGGGAACTAGAACTCCGCTTGAATACTATGACATACTCGGATTTATTATTCCCGCAATATTAAATCCAAATATGATAAATGATCCTTCAATATTATTTTTAAAGTATAAAAACGACGCTTGTTTCATTTGTGTTTTCGCAATTGAACAATAAATGATTTTTAATTTTTTAAGTAAATCATTTATTCATCATGAACAACAGCAATGAATTATACGTCATTTCTTGTACCTCCAACAAGAAAAAATCATCACTGAAAAAGAAAAAACCTAAGAATATTTTTTTTCTATACCGGGACGAAATGATGCATCTTAGGCCACATAGAATGCCAATGTGTGATTATAATAGGATAATTAGAGATAAGTGGAATGAATTACCGGATAAGGAAAAAAACCGGTATAGACTAATTTATGAAATTAATCGTGATGTGACCGAGGACGTTGAACAGACGTCAAGTCAAACGAAGGAAGTACAAAACAGCTGTGCAGCTTGTGGCATATCTATCGAAAACTCTGAGATATGCAATACATGTGTAGAACAACTATATCAGTTTGATTCAATGAATAGCTACGATCACTGTATGCTATGCAGCTCATTTAGTGGAAACTCGAGGATTTGTATCGTGTGTTATGAACAGTTTAATACACATCGGTTTGATAATTCATTCTTCGATAATGGAGAAATTCCTACATATTATGGTCCTAATTACGATACCAATTACCCATCTGAAGGTATTTTGGGTTTAACTGATAGAGATTATATAGATTATGATAATTATATCATGTTTGAAGAATGAAGACTGAACGGAAGTCTAAGTCACATGATTTTAATATCATGTGACGCTTATATCAACTTTTTGGTTTTTTTTACGGCATTTAGGCATTTAAATAATTTTTTCCTATTCTATTTATTTCGTTTTTTAATCGATAATTTTAATGTTTTTTTCTTCGTTTATTTTATTTATTTAAGTTTCTTCGATCGAACTTAGATTTTTTTTTTATTATCCTTCGTCGTTCGTGGCAAATCTGAATATTATTGTACTTTATTAATAAAGTTATTTTACGAACAATTATAAAACCGAAATAATAATTTTAACTAAAGATTTTCTAAATTTATATCTAATTTGTGTGATCTGCAGAAATTTCTTAGAATCGTTATACAAAACTTTTGTTACAAAAATAATTTTATAGTAGACGTTAGATAGTACCACAGCGTTAGAAGAAATGTTGACAGGTAAAGGGGATATGATTTATCATACAGTATATTCAATCTATGTACTTTTCTTTATGAGCTCAATAGTGTTGCTAATAGAAAAAAAAACTGTTTAAAAAACCTTCCAAAATCTGTAGAGAAAAAAAAAAGACAGAGATGATCATCATACATATAGTATGGATTGAATAATAGAGTTTATGTACGGGTACTTACTACGTAAAACAATTAATGCTGACCGGGGCTGAAAAACGATTCAGATTAGGCCAATATCTTGCAGATCTCCGACCTCAACTTTTTTTTTCGAACCATTTTGCTCATATTCGGCACGTTACACCATTTATTGCCGGATATCCGGCAATAAATGACGTAACATGGCGAAAATGATGATAGTTGCACATATTGAATACATATATAAAATTTGATCCAACATCATGTGCATTGAAGACTCCATATTTATGTACATACAACTTGCACCTTTAATAATAATTTCACGGGAAATCAACCATACATTATAATATATAATAATATTTCATGTATAGAATTACCATGAAAAAAAGTCCTAAAAAACTCACATTGGCATATGACAGATTAGTATGTTTCTAAATAAAATTAATCAATTTATCGTTTATATACTAACAACGTAAATTAAGGTTAAAAATCATTAATTATGTAATACAACAATTTTAAACATATAACATTTTATTTATTTATGAAAAGATACGTAAATATTTTGCTGTATTAATTTTTCTAAAAATGAGAAATATAGCGTGTATCAGACAGAAAAGGGCATCCTTAAATGTACCCGGGTATAGGCCAAAATCGAATTGATCGAAACTAATTAGCAATTATTCGGGAAAATTACTTGGCATCCTCACATTTTATAACAGTTGCACGCAGGTTGGAAATTGTACTCAGTGCAATTTAATACGTACTGTACTTTATAGTGGTGTATATATACTCATATAAGGTATTGAGTAAAATATGACAGTACGCTAACGCAACTTGGTACGTACGTGTGTTTTTTTTTTGTTCGTACGTACTAGTACAAAAAAATTGATTAGCTGTAAATGTACGTACGAACAAAAAAAACACACGTACGTACCAAGTTGCGTTAGCGTACTGTCATATTTTACTCAATACCTTATATTGGTTAATGTCACGAGGTAACGTCCAATGTAAATATCGTACGGCTAACGCAGATCATGTTTACATAGAACTAAACTCTTTCTTTTACTCTTGCTGCTAGAAATTAATTCATGGATAGTGGAAATTTAGTTGATTGATCTATATTGAAATTTTACTATGAATATTGTAGATATCTCAAGTAAATATTTATCGTTTCAATATTGTACATTTGTACGTAAATAAACTATTGATATTTGATATTGTATGATGATTAACTATTGATGAAATATAAATGGTAGGTACAGTATATAAAGAATTAAGTGACGACGAAATCAATTGACCGACATATACGTTATGAACAAGTACCGTACAGAGAGATGGGATTAGCAACGATGAGCGAATGTAGATAAGAAATTAGTTTACATAGCTATATTTAACGAGGTTATCAAAGTGATCAATCAACATGTATCTAGAAAAGGATATAAATATTGCTTGGAAATTTTTAAAAACACACAAAACTCCAAGAAAATTAACGAAACAACAAGCATCGTTGGTACCCTTATTTATTATCTTGTCGTCCCTGTACTCTTTTATTATTTCCATCACCACATCAGGCGTGGCATAATTTTTTAGCAAAGTTAATTTGACTACTGGGGTTGTCTCTTCATTCGGCTCATTTGAAGAAAGTCCTTCCTATACCTTATATTGTCTCTACCACTAATTTTTCATCTACTAAAGGAGGAATGACAACAATTAACGAAAACAATTAAAGGAGTGGCTGAAACCAATGCGCAGTTCGCATCAAGATTATCAAAATTGTCCAAGCAAGATCAAGCTGGATTTTTCTAATTTTTTTTCTGTGGGACGAAAACGTGCCACGTGAACAAAGTATTTGCCTTTATCATGGGGATTAGATTAGTTAATTTAGTTATCTATAGAAAATTATATCGTCTCTTCACGTATTCTTTTCATGTCGCTCAACTATTTATTTCTAGTAGTTTAGTATATATTTATCATAGTACGCCCATAATTGATATAGGATTAGTAGATAGTGTATACTCGTATACTACTATGTAATATGTATTTCGAATTTATTTTTTATATTTATACATATAAATAATAAAAGAAATGCGCGTTACTAACAAATAAAAACTATTGATGAAAATATCGATCGAACAAATTGATAATATTACGTATTAATTTTATAAAAGTTATTATACTATTTATTATAATACAAAAAAAAACCTTTTCACAGAAACAACGAAATTGTACTAATGTACGAAATATGGCCATTGTACTAAAATTTACTAAGTACAGTAATACGGTGTACGAGCTTCTTCAGCAGTTTAGGGTCATGGTGGACCTAAACCAACTACAGTCAAACCTTTATATAACGATATGTCGGGACTCATAAGAAAAAATTTAAAAAATATCGTTATATCNCCTTTATATAACGATATGTCGGGACTCATAAGAAAAAATTTAAAAAATATCGTTATATCAAATTATACCGATATTTATATGTCCTCACATATAGTGGGAATGTAAAATTTTATCGGTATATCAAGTTTTTAATAATGTATCGGTATATCGAATATCGGTATATCGAGTTCTGACTGTAATACTATAAAGCTGCGCCTCCAAACTATTTTAATACTAACTAAATTTTGTCCTTGCAACAGTTAACATCGCACGGTAATTCGTGGTTGTTACGTGACTTCGAATCTCACAACTATTTCATGAATTTCGTAATTCTGGCCAGCATTATAAATTAGACCAGAGTTATAGCATTAAAATCCAAATCACTTATACTGAAAATAAATAATATGGATTTAAGAAGATAATTATGAATCACGCCCAAAGCAATTTTTTTGAACTGTAGAAATTCCTAATTTCATCACATAAATTCAATTGCCATTTCAATAATAAGATATGATAATACTTTTTGAATAACTGGACCTGTTGTTTCATCTTGATGAACGTTTCTTATATTTTTATTGTAATTTAATTTTTGAATCACACATTTTCGTTTTGAAAAACAGATATTTTGTATAAATTAGCTAAGGCCATTTCTTCACACTGAACTTTGAACCATAACATTAATTTTATATTATATCGTGATCACTTTCTAATGGCTAAATCGTTTTATAGTCAACAAAAATGATTGGCGTTCATCACACTAACATATTATATCATAATTCTATGGTGCGACGTGATTGATCGGTAACTATGATATCAAAGGCGCAGTGCTATAGTGCTGTAATGAGTCATTGTATATACAAAATATATTATCACGTAAATCATGACTTCATGGGTATTTATTTACCAAATTTTGTTGGACGAATTTAGATATATGTTGATAAGCCACAATTTAGATATCTAGATTTTTCACTGATCTATATATGATCATGATTATAGGTAGATAGTGTCCTATGACTCATTAATAAAAGCTGGTATTTTACCAATTGTTTTTGTTATGAATTGATTGCTGAGAGAGGCAGTACTTTGTAAAACCTTTTAATTTACCCTATATTTTATTTTTCGCTTATCACCAATCGATGGTAACACATGCGTCTATTCCAGTTAAGAAACATGTAACTGCATTTTCCATGTTATTCCAAATACTATAATTAAAAGAATTTTTTATTTTAAATTAATCATCTTCAGAAATCACTACTGGTTTGATAGTGTTATTGTACAGTAAATTCCAATATGGGAGTAAATCATATGACTATGCATTATAATCCAACAATTATACATTATTAGTCATCATTAAGCTTAACTAATATTACTAGTTTTAGGTTAAATAACTATAAATTAATTGATATAATAGATGTGACTCATACATGATCTAAATTTTTTTTAATAAGTTACTATTAGTCACTATGTATTCAAAAGGTTTTTTAAAAAATATATATACCCTTAAATTTTTCTTTGAGAAATTTCAAAATCTTTTTCAAATATTACAAATATTGTTACAAAATCAAATTTTCTTTCCAAATATTATATTTTTCCCAATATCCCAGTTGCAAATCCCTATTTTGGAAAAAATGGCGGTATATAAATATATGTTATAATTATAAATAAAATATAATACAATAATGATTAACCTATTTAATTACATTTAGCTTGGTGTAGACGAAAATTAAGAAATGAACTTACCAGTTTAGGTTGGACATCACAAATATTATTCCAAGATCAAAATCAAATTTTTAAATTTTTTATAATTCAAAATGTCATACCAAATGTGCTCAAGCTTCAATACTCCTTTTCCAATACTTGCCATTATTCATAACTTACCTGTACATTCTTTTTGCTCTTTTATTGATATCTACAAATCTACTTAATTATACACTCATTTTAATCCTTGTTTTGATAAAATCTATCATTAAAATATTCTTTTTCCTATCCTTGAACCTCTTTCTCTTAAATCTCTCTCTTCTCCTCCAACCATTTCATCCATCAAATCTACTATCAAATTTCTCTCTTTTTAAAATTTTCTTATTTCAAAACTTTCATTATTATTACAATATTCTCCTGAAGATTTGATATCATAAATCCTTTTGTCAAAGAACTTATAAATAAAAAAGTCATACTTGTTCAGGCATCTCCCTTTGCTGGAAAAACAGCAATAACCCAAATTTTGGAGCACTCATTGGTTAATGCGCCAGAATACTCACATTATAGGGTAATCTGAATTTCATTGATTTGGAGAGGCTATGTCAATTC